CTTCCCCCAGGCCCAGTGGCTGAGAAGGCAGCAGCCCCCACCTGCACAGACGCTACTCAGAAGCAGCCGCGGCCAGTTCGTCTGCCTTCATCTTTAATGGCCAGTGCGGTACAGTTAGTGGACAGACAGGGATGACCGGACACAGAGGGATGGGGTGGTCACAGCTGTGCCGTGGGTGTGGAAGGGCAGGGCATCCTCCCCCTGGAAAAGCCAGTCTTTGGCAGGACACTCCAGGAGTCCCCTTAACGTGGCACTGAGCCATCCTGGAGGGTCCATGCTGGGGTGGGACCCCCACCCCTCCTTACTTGCCAGGGCCTCAGGCCCCTCCTTGGGCTTTGCTGGATGGGGATCAGGGTCCAGGGTTAGTTAACTTCAGCCAGGGTGCGGGGCCCTGCTTTGCGGCCCCCAAGCCGTCCTGCGTCACAGACAGGTGGTGGAGCTGGAGAAGCCAACTGGACACTGAGTCAGGCAGAGTGGGTGCCGGGGTGTGTGAGAGGGTCCCGGGGTGTCCAGGCCGGCACAGACTCGCCTGACACCATTCAGACCCAGGGCTCCAGTTCCTCCATCGTAAACCCGATGTCTGGGAGAACCGGGGTTAAGGCTGGGGGAGAGGAGAGGCCTCTGGGTGACGACAGTCCCCTTCTGCTCCTGAGGACTTCCTCAGGTGAAGACGGGCTGGGTCCGGTGCCGTGGAGGGTGTGACTGGGGCCACGGGGCCCTCAGAGCTGGCCTGGGGGTAGGGTTGCCAGGAGGGACACTGGCTGGTGGTCCACTCTCCTGGGTGGGGATGGCTGTGAGTGGCCTCACGGAGTACTGGACACAGACGGAGGCAAGGGGTGGGCGTGAGATGGGACACAGAGCACAGTGCTGGGCGGAGTCCCGGGGTCGGCAACACATCCGAGGCCTCCGAGAACTTGGCAGGATCCTGGGGCCGCAGTGACGGGCAGCTGGACCCAGAGAGGGTGGCGTTATTGGCACGGGAGGAGGCCAGGGCCCCGCAGGCACGGCAGGTAGGGGTGGGTAGGGGGCCTCAGGCCTCAGGCCCTAGTGAGGATCCCGCAGCCCTCCCAGGGCAGGGCTGGCCTGTGGCTCAGAGGCCGGTGGGGAGGGAGGCGTTGGTGGTGGGGGTCTGGAAGCAGCTCCGGTGGGCATCCCGGGTGAGGCTGTAGGTGCAGTAGGCCACGGCTGAGCCCAGCGTCAGCCCCGTCATGTAGGACACGGTCATAGTGTTCCCTGCGGACGAGACCAGACCTGAGCAGCGGGCGGCGGCAGCGAGCAGCCCTCCGGGCCCACAGCCGCTGTAAACACTCGGACAAGCCCGAGTCCCGGTGCACCAACCGCAGCCCCTGGGCAAAGGGCAGGAGCCGAAGCCGTGGCATCCCGCGGGAGGCAGGCGACCAGGGCCAGCTCCCGGGAGGGGCCGGCCGGGACTGTTACGCTTGGGGCCCAGGCCTGGCTGACTTCTCTTTATCTTCAACTGCTTCCTGGTGGACAATCTGGGACATCTAAGGGGCTTTTAGAATGTACTGTGTCCAGAACCCAGCTCTGGCACCTTCCTGCCAAAGCTCCCTCCCATCTCAGCTGATGGCAACCCAACCCCTTGCCCTGAGCATCAGGCCCAAAACTTGAGAGTCCTCCTTCACCCCATGTCCCTCTCTTACCCCCATCTCCCAATCCATCAGCTGGCTCTGTGGGCTCTACCGTCACAACAGAATCCAGCACCTCCTTCCAGGCCCCTTCCCAGCTCCCCAGCCCCAGCATACATGGCTCTTCTGCCCCAGGGCCGTTACATGTGCTCTTCCCTCGAGCTGTCACGTGGCTGGCCCCCTCACTGCTTGCTCCAGGTCTCTGCTCAAAAGTCACCTCCTCAGGGAAGCCCCTGAGACTGCTCTGCTTGCATTGTGAATCCCCCGCCCTGACTCACCCATCCCACGTCTCTGCTTTAGTTTTCTCTGTCCTTTGTTATTTGTCTGTCTGTCTCTGGGCTGTCAGCCCCAGAAGCACACTGTGTCGCCACTGTGTCCCCAGCACCCGAAATAGTGACTGAAGAACGTCCCCACACCTATGAGCTCCCCTAGGTTGGCTTAACCCCTGGAACCCAAATGCGCCCTCCGGCTGTGCAGCCTGGGCGTCTCTGGGCCCCGGGCTCCCTGCCTGGCAGGTCTGCGGCGTCAGGCTGGCCGAGCGGGGCCTTACCTGCCAGCTCCCGCTGCCTGGGGCCCACCTTGCCGGCTGCCAGGATCATGGGCACGCTGCCGAAGTAGCCGTTGCTAATGCCCATGAGCAGGGAGAAGACGCAGGGCCAGGCGGGGTGGCGGAGGGCGGGCGAGCCACTGGGGTAGACGCACAGGATGAAGAGGGGAATGAAGACCACGCGCAGGCAGGAGCAGGCCAGCAGGTGCGTGCCCCGCCAGTCCATGGGCAGGGCCGCCAGGATCTGCGGGAACGAGCCAGGCATGTGGGCGCCACCTCTCCTGAGCCCTCTGCAGCCTCTGGGCGCCCCCCTGCCCCAGACAGTCCCAGCTTAGTCCAGCCTTGTCCACGAACTCCCCCCCCCCCNCAGCTCCTCATTACAGCACAACAGTCCTTGCTGGGTGCCCGGCACCCATCAAACATTGCACATGACCTGTTCAGTCCTACAGGACTCTCATGGGGTGGGGCTGCTGACCCTGTTTGAGAAATGAGGACACCAAGCCCAGAGGGTCGGCCCCGTTGAACAGCAGGAAGTAGCAAGATCGGGAGTTGAACTCACTTGCTCCCTTTCAAAGCACAGATTCATGTTTCTCAGACCTCTCAGCTGTGTGACCTCAGGCAAATGACTTCCCCTCTCTGAGCCCCCGGATTCTCCATTCATCTGGACAAGGCCCACAGCAGACCTGCCCAGAACTGGCAGCTTTGACACTCCAGCCCTGACCCCCAACCACCCG